CTTAAAAATGAGATAAAACGATTGAGAAAGTGAGAATTAGGAGAGAGAGTGGCAGGGAGGAATGTCACTTAGTGTATTGGGTAACTATTCAAAAAGAAGGATGGTGGTAGGCTTTGTGGGACAGAGTGACACTGAAAAGAGAGGGCAAACAGACAGCTGGTAACAGAAGGAAAGAATTGGAGTATGCGTGTGTGTGTGTGTACTCACCTAATTGTGGTTACAGGGGTCGAGACTCAGCTCCTGTAAAGCACAGTTGCGGGTCAGACTTGACTTTCAATGCTATGTCGTTTTCGTACTGCCGTTGGGCCTCCCTCCTTATCTGTGCATACTCGTTTCTGGCTCTTCGACTAATCTCTATATTTTTCTGAGTCCTTTGCTTTCTGTACTTTTTCCATTCTTTAGGCCACTTAATTTTTGCCTACCTACACCTTTGGGTAAACCAAGGACTCGTTCTGTCTTCCCATTATTTCTGTTGCCCTTGGGAACAAACCTTTCCTCTGCCTCCTTGCATTTTGTTGTTACATAGTCCATCATTTTGTTTACTGACTTTCCTCCCAACTCTCGTTCCCCCTCAACTTACTGCAGGATGCTCCTCATACCTGTGTAGTCCCCCCTTTTATAGTTGACTTTTCCCTTTCTCCTCCTGTTACAATCTCCACTTGTAGCTCCACGATGTATTCAAAACTCAGAACCACGTGATCACTCGCTCCAAGGGGCTTTTCATATGTGATGTCCTCAATATATGAACTACTCAGGGTGAACGCAAGGTCCAGTCTTGTTGGTTCAAACTCCCCTCTCTCTCTGGTAGTGTCCCTAATATGTTGGTGCATGAGGCTTGCCAGTACCGCATCCATCATCTTGGCTCTCCATGTTTCGGGAGCCCCATGCGGCTCCAGGTTTTTCCCAGTCAATCCCCCTGTGGTTGAAGTCGCCCATAACCAGTAACTTCGCTTTACTCGAGTGAGCCCTTCTTGCCACTTCAGTTGGGGTGTCCACCATTGCTCTGTTGCACTCAATATATTCCTCTCTTGGCCTCCTGCAGTTCTGTGGTGGGTTATACATCGCTGCAATGACTACCTTATGTTCCCCTGACTGAACTGTACCTACTGTGTAGTCCCTTTCTCAATTCTCGTCCATTCCTTCCATTTCTTGGTATCCCCACCGGTTTTTAATTAGCAGTACAACCACTCCTCCCCCCTCTGCTCCTTTTATCCTTCCTCGGGATCTGTTATCCGGGTGGGAAGATTGCATCTGTTACTCTCCCAGTGAGTTTTGTTTCTGTAACCGCTACGATGTCTGGGGACATCTCCTTGATTCTTTCATGCCACTCCTCACATTCGTTATTCCATCCGCGATCGTGTACCAAACCTTCAACTTCTTTTCTATAACTGTGGTCTGGGGAGAAAGGTGGGTTAGGGGGAGCAGGTACCCTGGCGGGGGCCTATACGTGGTTGCTGTCTGGGTGGGGTCTGTGGTGTGGGGGATGGGGGCAGAGGGCCTATGGGGGGTTTCAGTGGGGGTGGGGCTGTGGTGAGGGAGATGGAAATAGAGGGTACAGTGTGTGGGTTGCTGTGGTGACTGTGGGGGTGGGGTTTATGGTGAAGGGAATGGGGAAAGAGGGAACATTATGTGGGTTACTGTGGGTTTCTGTGGGGTCGGGTTTGAGCTGAGGGGGATGTGTGGGTTACTGTGGGTTTCTGTGGGGTTGGGGTTTGTGCTGAGGGGGATGTGTGGGTTACTGTGGGTTTCTGTGGGGTTGGGGTTTGTGCTGAGGGGATGTGTGGGTAACTGTGGGTTTCTGTGGGGTTGGGTTTGTGCTGAGGGGGCTGTGTGGGTTACTGTGGGTTTCTGTGGGGTTGGGGTTTGTGCTGAGGGGGATGTGTGGGTTACTGTGGGTTTCTGTGGGGTTGGGGTTTGTGCTGATGGGGATGTGTGGGTTACTGTGGGTTTCTGTGGGGTTGGGGTTTGTGCTGAGGGGGATGTGTGGGTTACTGTGGGTTTCAGTGGGGTTGGGGTTTGTGCTGAGGGGGATGTGTGGGTTACTGTGGGGTTCTGTGGGGTGGGGTTTGTGCTGAGGGGGATGTGTGGTTACTGTGGGTTTCTGTGGGGGTGGGGTTTGTGCTGAGGGGGAAGTGTGGGTTACTGTGGGTTTAAGTGGGGGTGGGGTTTGTGGTGAGTGGGATAGGGGCAGAGGGTACAGTGAGTGGGTTTTGGGTTAGGTTCTTTGACTGCTATGGATGGGTGCCTTTTGTGTGTGTGTGTGTGTGTGTGTGTGTGTGTGTGTGTGTGTGTGTGTGTGTGTGTGTGTGTGTGTGTGTGTGTGTGTGTGTGTGTGTGTGTGTATGTGGGTGTATGTCTGTGTATGTGTGTGTGTACTCACCTAGTTGAGGTTGCAGAGGTCGAGTCCAAGCTCCTGGATTCGTGTGTGTGTGTGTGTGTGTGTGTGTGTGTGTGTGTGTGTGTGTGTGTGTGTGTGTGTATACTCACCTAGTTGTACTCACCTAGTTGAGGTTGCAGGGGTCGAGTCCAAGCTCCTGCCCCCGCCTCTTCACTGGTCGCTACTAGGTCACTCTCCCTGAACCATGAGCTTTATCGTACCTCTGCTTAAAGCTATGTATGGATCCTGACTCCACTACATCGCTTCCCAAACTATTCCACTTTCTGACTACTCTGTGGCTGAAGAAATACTTCCTAACATCCCTTTGATTCATCTGTGTCTTCAACTTCCAACTGTGTCCCCTTGTTACTGTGTCCAGTCTCTGGAACATCCTGTCTTTGTCCACCTTGTCAATTCCTCTCAGTATTTGTAAGTCGTTACCATGTCCCCCCTATCTCTCCTGTCCTCCAGTGTCGTCAGGTTGATTTCCCTTAACCTCTCCTCATAGGACATACCTCTTAGCTCTGGGACTAGTCTTGTTGCAAACCTTTGCACTTTCTCTAGTTTCTTTACATGCTTGGCTAGGTGTGGGTTCCAAACTGGTGCCGCATACTCCAATAAGGGCCTAACGTACAGGGTTTTATAGGGTCCTGAACGATTCCTTATTAAGATGTCGGAATGCTGTTCTGAGGTTTGCCAGGCGCCATATGCTGCACCAGTTATTTGGTTGATGTGCGCTTCAGGAGATGTGCCTGGTGTTATACTCACCCCAAGATTTTTTTTCCTTGAGTGATGTTTGTAGTCTCTGACCCCCTAGACTGTACTCCATCTGCGGTCTTCTTTGCCCTCCCCAATCCTCATGACTTTGCACTTGGTGGGATTGAACCTCCAGGAGCCAGTTGCTGGACCAGGTCTGCAGCCTGTCCAGATCCCTTTGTATTTCTGCCTGGTCTTCGATCGAATGAACTTTTTCTCATCAACTTCACGTCATCTGCAAACAGTGACACCTCGGAGTTTATTCCTTCCGTCATATCGTTCACAAATACCAGAAACATCACTGGTCCTAGGACTGACCTCTGTGGGACCCCACTGGTCACAGGTGCCCACTCTGACACCTCGCCTCGTACCATTACTCTCTGCTGTCTTCCTGACAAGTATTCCTGATCCATTGCAGTGCCCTTCCCTGTTATTCCTGCTTGGTCCTCCAGTTTTTGCACTAATCTCTTGTGTGGTACTGTGTCAAACGCCTTCTTGTAGTCTAAGAAAATGCAATCCACCCACCCCTCTCTCTCTTCTCTTACTGCTGTAACCATGTCATAGAACTCCAGTAGGTTTGTGACACAGGTAGAACTCCAGTAGGTTTGTGACACAGGATTTCCCGTCTCTGAAACCATGTTGTCTGCTGGTGATGAGATCATTCCTTTCTAGATGTTCCACCATTCTTCTCCTGACAATCTTTTCCATGATTTTGCATACTATACATGTCAGTGACACTGGTCTGTAGTTTAGTGCTTCATGTCTGTCTCCTTTTTTAAAGATTGGTACCACATTTGCTGTCTTCCATGCCTCAGGCAATCTCCCTGTTTCGATAGATGTATTGAATATTGTTGTTAGGGGTACACATAGCGCCTCTGCTCCCTCTCTCAGGACCCATGGAGAGATGTTATCTGGCCCCATTGCCTTTGAGGTATCTAGCTCACTCAGAAGCCTCTTCACTTCTTCCTCGGTTGTGTGTACTGTGTCCAGCACATGGTGGTGTACCCCACTCTCCGTCTTTTGGGAGCCCTTCTGTCTCCTCTGTGAACACTTCTTTGAATCTCTTGTTGAGTTCCTCACATACTTCACTGTCATTTCTTGTTGTCTCTCCTCCTTCCTTCCTTAGCCTGATTACCTGGTCTTTGACGGTTGTTCTCTTCCTGATGTGGCTGTATAACAGCTTCGGGTCAGATTTGGCTTTTGCTGCTATGTCGTTTTCATATTGACGTTGGGCCTCCCTTCTTATCTGTGCATATTCGTTTCTGGCTCTACGACTGCTCTCCTTATTCTCCTGGGTACTTTGCCTTCTATATTTCTTCCATTCCCTAGCACAATTGGTTTTTGCCTCCTTGCATCTTTGAGTGAACCATGGGTTCATCCTGGCTTTTTCATTATTCCTGTTACCCTTGGGTACAAACCTCCCCTCAGCCTCCTTGCACATTGTGACTACATATTCCATCATCTCATTAACTGGTTTCCCTGCCAGTTCTCTGTCCCACTGAACCTCATTTAGGAAGTTCCTCATTCCTGTGTAGTCCCCTTTCCTGTAGTTTGGTTTCACTCGTCCTGGCCTTCCTGCTTCCCCCTCCACTTGTAGCTCTACTGTGTATTCGAAGCTCAAAACCACATGATCGCTGGCCCCAAGGGGTCTTTCATATGTGATGTCCTCAATATCTGCACTACTCAAGGTGAATACTAAGTCCAGTCTTGCTGGTTCATCCTCTCCTCTCTCTCTTGTAGTGTCCCTTACGTGTTGGTACATGAAGTTTCCCAGTACCACCTCCATCATCTTAGCCCTCCATGTATCTTGGCCCCCATGTGGCTCCAAGTTCTCCCATTCGATCTCCTTGTGGTTAAAGTCTCCCAT